TGATCTCTTTTAATAATTGCGGAGATGAATATATTAGCGAAACGGGCACACCTTTGTGTATCCATACAAAAGAACACCTAGATGGCAAACGAAAACTAAGACAAAGTACCCCACTAGGCACGCATGGGATACGGAGACATAGAGGAAACGATTTTGAAGTAAAAGTCAATATCCTTGCACAGGAGACTAAAACACCAGCGCGAAAACTTCTTGAGGCTTTTTGGATAAATGCCGAAACCCTACAATGAATAGCAGGGAGGAATGCCCAGAGGTTATACCCGACCTACCTGACTCCGTATGTTCGCGTCAATTTCTGATGTGGGATGGTGCAGTCATCAACCATATGCGACTATAATCAGCTGTTCTAAACTTCCTCATTGGAAGTCACGTAAAAAGCGGTGAGTTTTTCGAGAAGCTGTTGATCATGTAATTACCATAGAGTTTTTCGTCTTTTTGTAAGTGTTATTGAAGCGTTTGGCCTAGTAGATTGTATATCAGCATACCCTTCCAGGCTCTGAAGAAGGCGATACTGCCGAAACGTCAACTAGCGTTGTATTGTATTGTGTTTTTTATGGAAGTAAATGTATGCTGTTTAAAAACCTCGCGATTGCTGAACAAGAAAACGACGCATTCATATTCCAATGCCGAGGTTAATAGAAAGTCGATCCTGGGAACAGAAAACGGAAAGTCAAAAGGTAAAGGTACTGGCGCCTTCAAGGTGTCTCATCGAGAATACTTACGCGTTACAGCAAAGACTTTTTTGATTTGTTTACTATAATAGCTAGCATTGCTCATCAAATGCACAAAAGTCAACTACGTTTCAGACTTAGCTCTTGTAATAACTTCGTGTGGAGAAGGATTTCTTATAGAACTCCCATTGCAACTCCGATAACTCCTCAATAATAGCGGCACAAGAAAACGAATCTGAAAGTGGAGTGAAATCAATTTCTGTCCTTGTGCTACCCTCATATATTGGCCTTTTCTATACACAGTTCCATAGATATACTTTGTAAAAGTGTACTCAGATCGTCGATGCAGGTTTAGATTCCACTCTAGCCGTCAGTCTATATGCTGGGGTCAAAATGAAAGCAGTGGATTATTGTTGTGCAGATTACAAGAAGAAAATACTAAATAATACAGGAAAGAAAGACAAATAGAAAGGAGGAATGACGGAAAAAAGAGGAAAATGATTTTAATATATTCATAAAAGCTACCAACACCAATAAACTACCAATAAATAATTTCCTATTTCACTTGAAAACTCGAAGAGCTCACAAAGTCATAAAACCTACTTTGCCTTGTCGCTCCAAAGATGTATAAAATCCTTTCGGAATATTACACTCCCATTAAATTCCTTTAAAGCGAATTTAAAAAGAAAACAGTTCACTAGGAAATGATTGGACATTTCAACGCTAAATACAACAACGGATCGTATTCATGGCGTGTTCGAAGAATTCCTTAAGCTATGCTAAAACAAATCATCCTCATTCAATTGCTTCAGTGTTCAAGATATCAGCCTTGACAAAAAAGCGAAGGAAAAACCTCTCCTAAGTTGACAAAACCGTCTTTTCCTACCTAGGATTCCATAGTAGTAAAATTCGAAGACAAGTACCCTGCTGAAAAAGATCAATCGCCTGTATCACCATGGTCCCATTGATTGTCGAGTAACTCGCGCATGCGCCAGCAAATCTTCTATTTTTCCTTTCGCTTCCAAGAGCAATCCAGTAGGATGTGCTAGCTCCACGCACTCGTTCAACATCATACCTTTCTTCTTAGATTTTCATGAAGAACTCTTATCATCGGATTGTTGGTCTTCCCGCAGTAGGTAACTCGAAAAACCCAGTAACCAACGGCTCTTATCCAGCACTTTTCGTTCACAAGCATCACGTGTCCAGCCCAGCTTATCGTAGACAGTTTGGTGTATAGAACGGCGTCTTTGATTTCTGATCCTCAACGTAGAACAGAGCTACGGCTCTCCTCTTTAACGTGCGTGTTACGGGACCCTCCTAGCCCTTTCGGCTGCGCGTTCCACAAGACAGAGTGATCTTTCATCCTGCTTACGTAGCGATCAAGTTTCTAGTGCACACATTAGGACAAGAAGAACCGTGTAGTCGAGAAGGTGGACATGAAGTGGAGTGTTCGCTGTTCTCTTCACCACACCTTCGATGCTCTTGAAAGCTTCTCAAGCTGCTCGTTTTCCCTTGCTCAACTCTGCAGATAAGCCGTTCGCCATGTTAACTTCTCGACCTAGATAGAGGTAACTGGGCATTCAGAGATATTGGTTCCGTTGAGCGTGAATGGGGTCATACGTAACCAATCTGTTCCCGAAGAACATTGTTTCTGTCCGAGTTAGACGTAGACCAATTCTTCCACAGGATTTATAACAACCAGTAAGCGTTCGTTCCGTCTGGCTAATGCTTGGGGTCAGAAGAACGATGTCACTAACAAAACGAAGATGGTGTAATTGCCTACCATCGATTTTCACTCCCATGCTGACCAATTCCAATGTTCGCATGACGTTCTCTAAGTTGGTGCTAAACAATTTTGGCGAGATAATATCGCATTCCCTAACCATTCTTCTTAGGTCGACGTTAATACCGTTGTAGAATAGTGCTATCATCGCTATGAAACTTTGTAGAGCTAGCGAGGAATTCTTATATACTGAGTAGGGACTCCTTGACTGTCGAGAACTTCCACGACTGCTTCTATTTAAACTGAGCTAAAAGCCTTCTTTAAATCGATGAGAGTGAGACAGAGCGGTTTCTTGTATTCTCGTGGCACACCAATGAATCTTGTTATCGTACGGATGTGTTCCATGGTACCGATTTTCGAAACCCTGCTTGCTCACAAGGCTGTCCTTCCTCCAGTGTTCTGTCATTCCTATTTAGGATGACTCGAGTAAAAGGCTTGTAGGCGACAGACAGCAAGCAGATTGGGCGATAGCTTCCTATATCGTGTAGGTCACCCTTCTTGAACAATAACACGGTCTTGCTGGTCTTCTACTGAGTAGGAACCTTGCATTCGAACAGGTGTAAAGAACCAAGCCAGTGTGTTTACGACGACTGGCGGAAAGTTCTTCAAATTTTCAGGTTATATCCTGTCTGGACCTAGTGCTGTTCGATTTCTCACCGGTGACGTAGCATGGCAGAACTCGGAAGGGAGAAGCAGTGTGATCACATATCCATTCACCTTTGATTCATATGAGGTCAGGAAGATGTGGCTGTTGAAGAGATCTGAGCAGTAATCGTAATCTTCCCCAATGTCTTTCTGGACGCTGTAATTGTTCCATCTGGAAGTCGAAATGCAACCGTCCCTCTGCAGTTTCGACTCTAACTGCTGTTCTTCTCTCTATAAGATCTTTTTTCACCGCTCTCTCCATTGTTTTGCAAACTCGGACGTGAGCTGTCGGTTCCCTTTAGCCCATGCGATTCGACATTGACGTACCAGCTCAAGTGTTTATGGAGACAGACGTCTTTTGATAGCTTTCGAAATCTCACTTCCGAACAACTGGACTAATGAACTGAATAAGTCCCAGTTGATGGTGGTGTTCGGACTTCGTTTTTGAACCTAGCGGCTATTCCTTTTTCCGTGAGAAAAGAAATCTCGCACGAAGGAGATGATGTTCTATTTCCGTGCAGAGTTTTGGAACAACAGCGGCATCGGTTGGGCAAAACTTCTATTTGCTATGATGTAGTCTATTTCGTTGTGGATCCTCCTCCGGAAGATGCCCACATTCAGCATTCAGAGTGGCGCTTCTGGAATTGCGATTTACCGTGGATGATCTTTGCCGTCATGATAAGCTCAGAAAGCCGCTTACCTTCCTCTTTCCATTCTAATTCGAGGTCCGAATGTGACGTTCTTCAGACGTTCTTGAATCTTGGCGTTAAAGCCTCCGACGATGACCTTAAAGAATGTATGACTTTCTCTGCAGAACTTCACCAAGTCCATGTAGAACGCTTCGACTTCGTCTTCCTTATGGCTTGATGCGCCGGTGCACAGGTGACGAACATTGTCAAAACCGATAACGCTCCACGTTTGTTCGATTGTACACGTCCAATTCGTGTTACGATTTGTTCGAATGAATCGATGTTCACGGCCGAACTCGTGCTCACAACAGCGACGATGCCACCAACTCTTCTACTATCGCATGTTTTGAGGAATCGCATTTCCGGGGTCATAGACAGTGTTGCGTGGGTGGCGTCTTCTCGTCTAAGCCGGTCCTATGGACTATCCTTGCTGTCTCCGTGATCAAGCTTGCTACTCGGGACTTAGATGCAAGTGAGATTGCACTGTAGATACAGATAGTCACCTCAGAAACGTTAACATACTTTACAATGGTAAATCTCCCAATTGATAAATACTCTGAGATAATACGTTGTTCTTAAACTGAGTTTTCCAAAAACTTTCCCAACATGAAAGATTAAATTATTTCCGGCCCTACATGTCTTTATATCCATATTTATGACCACGGTGAAACGCATGTAGAATAGACTAAGACAGCTCAACAAGTAGGAAAAACAAGCTATGAACCAACTGTAAAGTAGGACCAATGCGCCACACGTACCCTATTCTGAGGATAGCCATGAATAGAACCTATTCTCCATCCAAATTTGAAATGGAAAAAAAACGGTATTTCAATATATCTTGAAACCAATTTCGTTTTCTATGCTAAACCAATATTACAGAGGTACATCGAAACTTAACATAAGTAATACGTTTAGGTACAACCAACAATGTAATTCGAGATGACGACCCTCTTTTTGATTTCACACCTTTTGAGCAAATACCTTTTATTCTATAAAGGAACCATCGAATTTTTCACCGACATCAAATGATAACACGCTTGCATATTTGCATATCGGTAAACAACAAAATTACTTCTGTACCAGTAAACGTTAAGAAGTTAATCATGGGAAATAATGTCTATGATAGGAACTCCGTGCAATAAATTAAGGCAAAATACAGATAATCAATGAGGTCTGAACCACTCTTGAAAACGACTAAGGCGAAAAGTGCTCCTGAGGCAATTCTTCGGTTTGTGACTGCGTGAACGGCAGTTGAGGCGCTGGAGACGGTGGTTCTCCTGACAGTGGTTGAGGAAGTGGTGCAACCAGAACTTGTGCCACAATTTGAGGTGAACTGGCTCGTGATGTTGTAGCTAACTGAGGGCTTTGAGAAAACAGTTGCCTCTTTACGGTTGCACCAGATGCTTAAATACAGATTGTTTTGTAGTGTTTACTAAAAGAAAATCATTAGAACGAACTAAGTCAGTTTCTCATTAGTTATGTGAGAGATGAAAAACGACATACCTTTAGAGAATGATGAAGGATGTCCAGCTGTAGATGCAGCGTACGAAATAATGGCTCCTTGATCTGGCTCACCTCCAAACTGAAGAGAAATAGTCTATGATGAGTTTGTCGTCCTATTTTTATCCAGACCTTCTATGACAAGAGATCGAACAGACCGGTGATTTTTGTCCAAGTACTCTTTTCTGCGGAGAAAGACGTTGTGTGGAAAGCATTCGAATTTGCTTTTGTGGAAAAACGTATGGCCGATCTCCCGACTGTGTGGATTGTTGAACGAGCGTGGGAGGAGCAATCGGCTAAGTAGGTGTTGACGTTTAAGAATAAGCAAATGCTATTCCCTCCCGCTTATGCAGTACCAAAATCGTAAAAAGAACTCTCACAAAATGAGTCTCGCTCTTTTACACAGTACCGTGGAAAAGAATTCAGAAGCATAGATTAGCACTCTCACAGATTGCAAACGATTTCCGTAAAAAAATCTTTGGAAAAAAGTAAAGTAAAAAAAAGAGTGAGTAAAAGAAAAGAAAGAAAAGGCCACCAAATGGAGAGTGAGATTGTGGCATCATAGCCTGCAAAAGTTTATTATCGAATAGCAGCACACATAAACAAATAAATAACTCACCGTAGAAAGATCCTGCGTCATTGAGGATTGCACAGCGTTTGGATTTTGCAGCTGAGATGAAAAATTTAAAAGAAGTACGTTTATGAAAATGTAAGAATCATCACTGACCATAAGTTGAGGAACCGCAACAACAATAGGAATCCTGGACTGTACAATATCCGGCCCTACAGGAACAGCCGGAGGTCGTACGCACACAGATATCACAGGATGAGGAGGTAAGTTCTAATATTCATAACGTTATTATAAAATAATATGAATACACCTTCAATTTAGACCACTTTTAAGTACCAACCGGTCTTTCATTATTAGTTTGCAGCTCAGCCAACTTCTTCTTGGCCGTTTCTTGGATTATCCGTCTCTCTTCCTAAAACAACCTTTTAAGGAACCTTGAAAAAGAGAAAGAAAAGAACTTTTTAGTCGTAGGCATATTAATGAAATGCCATTCGTGGCGACTCGGCATACCAGGTTGTTTATGACTTGGCTTACGACATCTGGGTACTGAGCAGTTGCGTATCGTACACTCAGGGAGGAAAGGAGACTCTCCTGCACAGATGGTAAACGACCACTCAAATCAAGCGGTCGTGAATCTAAGAATGTATGCTAAAAATTCAATCTAAAAAATAAAAACGTGATGGTTAATCGGAACCACTGGATCGTCGTAGCTCCTTGGACTCGTTCTGGTGCCCTACAAGCGAATCGACAAGGCGCAGCTTGCCCAGTACCGCAACTTCTCGTAGACTTTCAGCATCATGGCCGTACTGCAGATCGGTCGTAGCTCGACCTTTTCGCAAATGCACTGCAAAAAAGAGAAGATGAAGAACACAGCGACGATTTTCGCACAAACCGAATAACAGGAGTACTTAAATTCGAAAACCATTTAAAGCAATCTATACACACCAACTTCAGCAGACGTCAACGGCACCTTGCGCGGTCTTCTTGACAACGGATCAACGACCATCAGTTGACCACTCTCCCGTGGACGAACCACCGTCTGGTAGCGAATTGAGCATTGTCGTGGAGATCTACAGAAATTATAAACTCATTCAGATATTAAACTACGATGTCATTTACAAAGCCACGAGTTCAAAATGCAAAAACAGACTGACAACAAGCACCAGAGAAGAGCAAACGGAAGGCAACATCGAACCAAGAATGAAAAAGAACAAGACGAATGTTATACACCGCCAGCCTGTGCTACTCTTTGCAGATTACGAAAACCGGATGGGATAACAAACCTATAAAATCTCGTAACTCTGTTCACAAATCCAGATATGTACTCCCAGTTGTAGCGCAGTGATGTCTTCAGTCGCCCGAAACTATGACACATAATCTCTTCATTTCGAACAGCCTAAACACAAAAAACATGAGTTTTCTTTGCTGTATACGTGAAAAACCTCGTTTACCGTGAGTAAAGCCTGGTCCTCGATGATAGACCACTCAGGTCCATCATAGTCCAGTTCTTCTCGCACTGCTGGTGGCGGAGAGACCGGTCGCGCCAATTCCTGTTCTTTCTGTTTAAGCTGCTTTGGTGGTGCTGGCCTTTCTTTTTTTGATGACCGATTACGTGGGGCAGCAGCTGAAAATCGTACATTCACTACAAGAAACTTTAGACGACTTATCAAATTTATTTATATGATCTTATAAACCGATCTTCTTAAGCTGATGCGAAGTTGGTATAGAGTTGTCAAATGTTTAAAGAAACCAAACCCACAGTTCCTGCGTTCACTACAATCCTGCATGTACTGGTCAAATGCAGTTGGAGAGTGTGCAACAACGCTATGTGATGGCGGCGGAGTAGGACTATGGGTATAAGATGTTGGATTGCGAAATACTTGCGAATGGCCATCATAGCTGCGTATGGCGACGACGGCTGAGCATCAGATAGTGGGATAGGTGTGGGAGCTGCAATAGGAAGAACCACAAATCCCCAACTTCTTTCTACTCTAAAAGCTGGTCTTATATGAGATTACAATGTTTAAATACAAAGTAAAAAGAACATAGATAAACTTATGACTTCGTTTCAGCGGGCTTAATGGCTTATCGGGTGAACTGCGTAGTTCATGAATCTCCAGTGGAAGACGGTCTTCGGTCATGAAATCTGGATCGTTAAAAAGAACAGATTAGTCATCCAAGTCGGGCTATATCTTCATAAACAACAGAAATCACACTATACGACTGCATTCTTAGTCTAAGGTCTGCGTACGAAGACAGCGACTTCATGTCTTAAGATGATATTGATAGGAATATGCCTACAAGCGACGAACGGGAAGGGAAGACATCAACGGAACGAATTATGACTCTGTATAGATAGAAAGAACAGGAAGCGGAAGCTATTCATAAGTAGATGGCCGAGGAAAAGGTTTCAATTCTTGCCACTGCTGACGTTACCAACATTTATACAAGTTACAATAATCTAGCGAGTCCATCGTATTTGTCCTTTATTACAACAGTTAGTCGTCTGGATTTCCCATCTGAAACCTCTTACTTTACTTAATAAATGCTTGCTTTGAATCCGTCGTATTAATTTCCTATGGGGAAACATCCCATATGGCACAAGTTCACGTGGCCATGATCGTCCTCACCAAACACAGATGTAAGAACTTTCCATGAAATGTTCTCCTTCAGTGGAGCTTCAGAGCTGTTACTGCGACATCAGGTTACCATCGTGATGAATCTCTGAAGACACCTTTTAATCTCAATAGCTCCCAACAAATAGCAACTTAACCATAAGTAAAAAGAGATAAGGAACACTGTTATCCAACATTGTTGATTAGTCTTCCATTCTAATATAATAAGATTTCAATCTGCTACCTGGTGTCTAAAAATTACTAGGGCACGTGTGGCGCAGTGGTCAGAGGCGCCCTGCAGCACACACGTGGAATCGATCACTGCCTCAATAACCCATCAAGCCTTCCATCCTACCAGGCTCGGCAGATTGCTACTAGACTTGTCTGGGAGGATAGGAGCACTGGCTCGATACATCAGTAGGTCACCGCGAGTCATTGCGAAGGCCAGATATGCATTCAATCATCTCCAAATGATGCTTAATGAAGTGGAATGCATGGCGCATCCCTCAGCGATTGATCAACGCCGAGAGCTTTATCCTTGTTTTCTACTTAGTGTTTTCCCTTTGTTGCATAAAAACGATTGTCTAATGTGTGGACAATAACGATGTTAGAAAATCTAGGTCACCATAAGACCAAAGGTTGAAATGGAAACGACACCTGGGAAGAAAAGCGGAAAATTTCAATATTTATGACTAAAACAAGTATCACGCAGTTTCCGGCTTTTCGCGTTTGACGATCTCGTAATGGTAAACAGATTCGGATTGCTCAACAGTGCGATAGCACGTGGGGAGCGATTACAGTGGGACACGACAGGAACGGTCGGCCATTATTGGTTCTTAAGCAGTCTCATTCGTGGTTTCCCTCTTCTGCCTTGTTCATTTTTGCCTTTACTGCATAACCCCCAAAAATTTGTACCAATAAGCGTTCGTTGTTGACGAATGAATACTTTGGCGATGCCCCGTGAATTCGACCCCACTAAGCATCTCAGGGGTGATTGAATAAATATCTTACCTCCCAGGACAACCGATGTATTAAGCCAGGATTTTCCATCCTTCTAAACAAGTCTGGCACCAATTTGTCGACCTTAGCGATGAAGTGCTTTGCGTACCCGGTACGTTTGATCGAACCAAAAACGATCTGCTTTGTGTAGAACCACACACCCAACCGATCTTTATAAATCTGTGAGTTCCACCAAGTGAAGAACCTTATATCGATTAATGACGATGCTTACATGTTAGTGGCGGTGATTACAAAATGTCAGTCAGCCGAAAGTAACCATGTATTTTTCCTTAGACACATAGGACTCTCGTTGTCTTTGTTACGACATATAAATTTATACCTTCCCCACTTACGTGGTGAGCGTGACGATTTAAACGCTGAGTCAATATTCAGTACTTATTCGCATTTAGATTGTATAAAGCACGTCAGCTCAGCTAGAAAGCCTACAATCAAGTGACTAGGAAATATACAAAGAAAGTTGTTCGGAGTAAGCATCAACAAATAAGTTCCACGTCTATTTCGTAAGAGCAGGATAAGACACCTGTTATTACATCCATTCCTCACGACGGACCCCAATAAGCTGTATGTGAATATCATCTTGCCAATGCTATCAAAAGGAAAGTGTTTCATACGCAAAGTGTGGCACAAATTTTCCCCACAGATGCAAATGGAGAGCCCCGGCACGATAGTGGCAAATGACCAGACGTAGTCAGTCGTTAACTGCTGGCATTATAGGTGATACAGCTCACACTCCTAAAGTGAGGGCCAATTTTTCCGTATTCGTCATCATGGGTATTGATTTCTGTGCAATCATAGCCGAAACATTTTACAGTTCCAACTCCGAACCACTATATCTAAGCACGAGGTAGACTTCTTTGACCGAAATAGAAACCATGATTTGCTAATCTTTGCCAAAAAAATATAGGTTGACTTATTCTAGTTTATAACACACAACAAAAGTTCACATGGACCCGAAATTCCCGCCTAATCGACTAATTTGAATTCTGAGTGATTAAGAGTATTCTCTTAAATATTGTTGCAAAGAGTCCAGTCCTAAGTAGCTCTGTTTTAAACCAGAGAACTTGTTTAGTTATACATTTGTTTATTTTTATATATTTAGCCTCCAACGGTCTACCGCCTCATCATGGCTGGAAGGTGTTCCTAGGTGTCAGGCTGCAATGTACAGCGCGGGGATTCATCCCCACAGCAGGGTCTACCAAGCTGGGAAGGAGTCCGACGTTTCCTTCAGAAGTTCAGCTAAGAGTAAACCAATACCAGAATCTACCATCGTCCTGGTAGCAAAGTCGAATGCTGGCAAATCTCCCTCTGATCCACAAAGGTTGCGACTGCCTGTGGTGATGACGACCTGGAGCAGACATTGACCAGGCTGACCTCGGGACTCCAGGGAAACACAGTAGCTAAACCAGCAAAACTCCGAAAAATGAAGAATATGCTGGGTGGGGCGCGCATAACCAGTAAGGACGGGTCGTCCAAGTATTCAAGTATATATTTAGCATGTATACTAATCAGAATTATTCGTCCTAAGTGGAAAATAATGATTAGTTGAAACATCGACCATCACTAAAACTGCACCATTTTTTAGGATTTATTTACTGCCTATTCTTTCTCATGGGAGAATATAATGTGAAGTACAACCACAAGGAAGCTGAGATACGAGCTAGATTGGCAACCTCAGTTGAGGTTCGAACCCGCGACTACCCTAACCGGGATTCACGTGACACTATACCAACCAACTCTTTCGCTGCCTCAAAAAAATTAGTTACTTGAACATTGATTTTCTCAACTACAACCAAATTATTTCTAAGTTCTGATTACTGCGTATTCTTTTTCATGTCAGGGTATAATGTGAAGTATAACCAAAAGAGTACTGCGATATGGGCCAAATTCGGAAGCTCAAGCGACCTTCGAACCCGCGCGTGCCCTTTCCGGGTCTCGTGTGCCGCTCAACCAACCGAGGCCCTTACTTTGTCTTTCTTTCAGCCATGTTGAACCATTTTTGTTCAGTGGAAATAATAGTTATCAATCACAGTAGTCTTTTGGTGAATTGACCCACTGAGTGCAGGCGAGTTGCAATTTCTCGGCGCAGGACTGCTTCAACAGTAAGATTCTAAACAAGTGTCCTCCAATTTACAACACCTATCAGACTTCACAACTCTTACCAGAACAAAAATATCATTTACTTTTAGTGCAGCAGTGTGAACTGCGCTTATAAGCCTAAGGCCGACGAGAGCTCCTGGATCAGGTGATCTTTCAAATATTTCTCCATGAGTTGGTGGCCACTACCTGAATGCTCTTCTTTCAAAATGCAAGAAATCACATCTGGAAATGAAGAGGATGGAGGGCTTTGCACAACGTTCTTTTGCGAAGAAAAAAACGAACAATATGGACAATATTGGTAATTTTCTCCCGATCAGCTTATCGAGTTTGCTCTACGAACTTTTCAGGCTCTCGAAAAATTTCGACGAAGAGGATTGAGCAGGAGTTACATGTGTCACACACAAACAATCTTGAGAATCATGGAAGAATGGAGGGATGTCATCTACCTCTTATCTTAAATTTGTTGAACTACAGGAAAGCAATTGATAATGAGATGACGCCATCTGGTCCGATGAAGTTGACTGAATTATAGAGACGGTCTACATTAAAAGCCATGGTGGCGGTAACTGTTGCTGTATAACAACGATACAGCTTTTTCATAACCAATTACTATTTCAACTGGCAAGGAAACACAACGGAACAATAAAATATCGCCGAAGCTATTCACCGCCACTCTACGATGGTATATGTAATATTTATTTGTAACCTTCGTTTTGTCAACAGCGCCTTTATCTTTACCGACAGCATCGTAGGAGCAGGATGCTCAGCAAGCTCAAAGACACAGGGAGAAACTTGAACTAAGGATCAGTTGGAAGAAAACCCAACCTTTAAAGAATTTCCGGTGTCAAGTAGTGTACATTATTCTGGTTAAATAATCGTTGTAACGAAAGCACCCTCCTATGGCTGAGACATTCCAAAAACGTCGATGCAAACTTGAGGGGTGAACTAAGTTGAAGACAATGAGCAGCATAGACCACTTCTTTACTATCTCTAACAACGGACTATGAGTAGCTTACTGATCACACTGCCTGGTTTAACCCTACTCAATGCTACATTCCTTCCTCTATTGCACTCTGAAGGAGAAATGAAAGCTGCTACTTCAGCAGCTTCTCAGAAGCTGCTGAGATATCCAAGGAATTGAAGCTATATCTAAAGAATAAAGGCGACCTCCACGTAGATCAAAAGTGAATCGACATGCTTTTTACATGCATAATCCAGCCAAATGTACAGAATTTACAGATAACGAGAATGATTTTCCGACCCTATGGATTCTGTAGAAGCTGTGTTTGGTTGGATTAGAGCAAGGAATGCTAGACACACAGGCTCCACAACATCGTCATGATTCCTGGATAAGCTTCCGACAATTGGAAAACTGCGTGCGAATGTATTTGGATACTTGGATAGTTGGA